ATGGGTTGGACATGCACATGAGGGGGACAGGAAGGGTTGAAAAAGGGACAGTCACTGGTGTGCGAACGGTCTCAGTCGTACAAAAATATAGCTAAATAAAGACAGGTATATAAACAACACCGCATCCAGCGCCCGGCCAAAAGACGCCAGACCGCAGAAACTCACCTGGCGAACGATGGCACAAACTTGACACGACTCAACCGTGCCCAGAAGAACCTGGGAGCACCGCCAGGTGAAGACGCCAGAGCCGGACCTGGCCGGACCCGCAGGAGAGCAGGTAGAGGTGAAGGAGGCGGCCCACACCCATGACACAGGGGAAAACCGAGGCGTCCTCCCCACAACTGGGAACCAGGACACCCCCGGAGCGAAGGGGCACATACCGCAGCCAGGGAGAAGAGCGAGAGACGAAGCACTCTAGCAAAAAGGGCGCAAAACACCAGCACTGAAACACCGCCCAGACCAAAACAAACTCCACGGCACATGCGCATGACACGCTGGCCGAACCGCACAACCCTCTCTGCGGGAAAGCGCCAACCAGGACTACTGCACCAGAAAAGTAGCCAAAAGAGGAAGCAGGAACAATAAAACTGACCAACGAAGCAAAGAGAGTCCAAAAAGGAACCCAACCGGGCCACAAGCAGGCCAACAAAGCAACAAGTAGCCCAACAGGGCGACAAGTAGCCCAACTGGCCCACAAGTAGCCCAACCAGGCCACAAGTAGCCAAAACGGCGACAAGGATGAGGAGCCGACAGACGTTCCAATAATACGGGAAGTAGAGAAAAACCTTCCCGAACCCTCGAGAACACAGAAGCCAACACTAGTCCCGAAGGCACACAAAGGCGCAGGCGCACCCGAGATCAGAAGTCACATAGAACCCCATCGAATGGAGAAACATGACGAAAACATCGTCCCAAAAAGGGGTGGGAGGAAACAACCACACACACAGGACGAAACCAAACGACTCAAAGGCCAAGGAACCGAGCCCGGGGAAGGGCCGACGCCCAACAGCACGTACGGCGAGTGGGGAGGAAAGACACCACTCCGCGTAACCACAAGCCCCGCCTAGAAGGGGATAAAAACCCCCCACGGGGTCCAACGGGGCCAAGGCCCCCCAAGTCAGCCCCGGGAACCTACACGACAGGCCCCGGGGTCGAGCCGTTCCCCCAAAGCCCCGGCCGTACCAGAAAACCGGGGCAGCCGTGAAAACACTAAGGAAGGGAGCCCACTGGCAGACTCATACAACACGGCTGGAGGAACAGGCTCAAATGCCCCCGTCACTACCCCGGAAGGGGAATTCCCCGAGACTGCCCGAGTCTCAACACCATCAAAAAACCCCGCCCCGAACCTACAGACGGTAAGGAACCGGATGCAGGCAGGAAGGGTGATCCAGGGGAAAGACAAGGGGGCATGGATGGAACCGAAGCAACCAACACCCCCAAGTCCCAAAACGAACCAAAACAGGGCAGCCCCGGGGCTCCCGGGGAGTAAACCACGAGAACGTTGCCACCACCAAGGCTCTAAGTGCAACGCCCCTGCTCCCCGCACCCGCTTAGTCAGCACAACTGGGTAACCAAGCCACAATGAGCAACCAAACTCGCAGGACTCCGGGTCGAAGGTGTCACCGACCCCACAGGCAGGAGACGGAGGCAAAACAGAGAGTCACCCAGAGATAAAGGGTGAGAGCAACCCTCAAACTCCCTGGAAGCGAGGGGGGGACTCTGGGGTCACATCCATCGGATCCGCGCGCCCCCAGGGGTTTCCCAGGGTCCCGAGCGTTTACTATAGGAGGACTCGCGCTCAGGTAATCCCAGGCAGGGTACTGCTAACCGGCACCCAAAGCTACCAAACAACTTTCTAAGAGCTGAACCCCCGGGACGTGTACACTCATGGGGACCTAGCAGGGGGTACCACCAGAAAATACTCAATACAAGGGACACAAGGGGCAAGAATGAAGGCAGACCCCCCCCACAAGGTAGATAAACAAAAAGAAAAAGATAACCCCGCAAGAGGACAGGGTACCCAAGCGGAACAGAGCCAGCCGCTATGATTGGTAAAGACAAGCTGCACAGTACCCTGCGCCCCACCAGTGCAAAAACTGCCCCTTACTCTAAGGCGAACAAGGGAGACAGAACACCCGAGCACACAAAGAGCAGCCGAAAACCAAGCAGTAAACGGCCAAGCAGGGGCAGGACCCAAGGAACTTGTGGAAGGTGGCCCCAAGCCCCAAGGGCAGTACTTACAGGGCACCTAGGGAAGGGAACCCTAGGCGCATGCAGCCCGAGTACTGGAGAATCACTCCCAGCTCACGCACCACCTAGAAAACAGACACCACACTCTAGGTACAGTGCTGAAACAACCACTGGAGCCGGAGCACATAACCGGTGCTTATAGCATCAGCCGAAGAACTGATGGGTGGATAGCCGGCGTGGGAGGTCTGGGGCTCCCCCTTCCCCCTCCCGGGGAGGGGGGAGCAGCGCAGACAGCGGCGCGGTGACGTATGACGTCATACTAGTTTACTTGTTTTCTGTTGAGGAGTTCTATCCACTAGTTCGGCTTTAGGTAGCAATTTTCACTAGAATAGGGGTTTGTTTTGGAATGCTTACCTTTTTGGATGCTTGACCCGGTCGATGGCAGACATAGAATGCTTCCTACCACACGGGGGTTTCTATAGGCCATTGCTCCCCTTGCCTCTCTGAGGGGGCCAGGTTCTGGCCGTGGTCCCCGGTAGGCCTTAGAATTCCATACACATGACTGATGCCAAAGTCTGACATTAGCATATCAGCCTGGTAAAGCTCCGGGGAGCCGACGGGGCTCCCCCCAGAAAGAAAGTCAAACTAATGAGGTACACCACTGGGTAGATCATCTGAAAGATGCGAAGCCACAGAAAAAGAGGAGGAGCCCAGGTTTGGATACCGAATAAGCAGTGCTTGAAATCAAGGCCAGGCCAGCCACTAAGGGGTCAGAAGAACCAGCTTCCCTAGATAAGACTCCATCCTGGCCAGTTCATGGTAGCAAACCATGTTATTTCTAAAGTACCAGCTACTTAGATTATCTCCAAACAATTCCACATTCCAGGAAATTGTATTGTAAATATCAAAAGGTTCCCCATAAACGTTAATGGCACCTGTAATCTATTCACTAACCATTAGTGACATCTGTAATTACATTAACATGTTCCCCAATGTTTCCACAAATTATTCAGGACCGCTGCAAGTAACTAGCCAGTTTCGAATCACTTCAAATTATGATCAACTTGCCAAAAGAAGCAAACTGTCCAATACAAGATCAAGTGGGGACAACACAGACGAGAATACAGCATCGTAAGTCAAGTACCAAGGGCTGCTTCCTGCTCCAAATGGAATGCCCCCCCCCCCCCACTCCAAGCGGAGCGGATCCCCGCTCAAAGCGGAACGGCTCCCTGCCCCAAGCAGAAAGGCCCCCTCCCCCTGAGCTCCCCGCTCGAAGGTGAATGGTTCTCCCCCCCCCCCCCCCCCCCAAACTCCCTGCTCCAAGCGGAACGGCTCCTTTCTGTCTCAGGCATTGGGCAAGAACTTTGGCTCTGCACTGGGGCTTTCATGGCAGGCTTCAAGGGCAGGGAGAGAGGGAAGCCCAAGGGGTGTCCATGGGTGCCTTTTATCCTTCTTGGACTCGGTTCCCCTCTGCAGAGGGTCTTTTGCTGCAGGGGGGAGGACAACCTCCTCTCTTTTTCACTGGGGGCTTGGCAGCTGTTCTATCAGACCCACACATTTGATTGGCAGGAGGCGAGTTCCATCTTTTAGGTGTTCCTAAGAGGTGCTTCTTATGCTTCACTCAGGGACTGCCTGTTTGCTCCAGTGCTTCCCAAAAATGTGGGCAATTGGCAGCTGCCTGTGTTTTCCAGGGCACTTATTGCAGAGGGCACTAAATGCGTATGCACTTGCTGGCAGTTTTGCTCGTTTTGATTTTATGTGGGGGCTCTCTGAGCATTTCTGTGAGGATATGGCTTTACTTGGTTCCACTCCAGGTATGGAAGCCTTGGCAGCCCTGCCCAAGATGCTTGCTCTTCTCCTTCAGGAGGTGGTGGCAGTGTATTAATTGCTTGGCTCACCTCGCATGTCGGTAGGCCGTGTTGGCCCAGTCTTTAGATTTAACTTTGTTCCTTACCCTTTTGTTCTCCTGTTTCTCTCTTCACTTTCCTGAGAAGGCTGTCTCCCAGGTTTGGTCGACTGCGACTTTTTCCTGTCGGCCTATCAACCAATCAACAAGCTGAATTTCCAGGGGACACATTCTAAATATATCAAAAAAAGTTTCTAAAACTGTTGGCATTCTTTCTATGAACAGATATTATGTACCTCGCCCTGCCCTGGTGACGCTCTATTACTCTTTCATCTATCCTTATCTCAATTATGGTATTTGTGCTTGGGGTTCTACTACACAAAATCATTTACGTCCTCTAATTACCCAACACAAAGCTGCTATTAGAACAATATCTAACTCTGGCCCCAGACAGCACTCGGTACCCTTACTCAAATCTTTGAATATTCTAGATATTAAGTCACTGCACATCCTCTCATGTGTACTCTATATATTTAAAACTCTGAATTGTAATGTCAATTCTAACCTTAGAAGCTTCCTAGAAGGTTGTAACGGAACTCATGGGCATCACACCAGAAACAAGTACCTATTTGATATTCCAAGAGTGCGACTTAACCAAACTAGAAATGCTCTACAAATCAAGGGACCCAGAATGTGGAATGACCTCCCCAATCATGTCAAAGGCTGTACCTCTCTCAACCAGTTTAAGAGTAAAACCAAATACTACCTAATTAACTCCATGTAACCTACCTTACCCCCTAAATGTACACCCATGCCTTGCAATTTTTAAACAATGTTGTTTGTTCACCAACTTGTACAATTGCTGATTTCTGCCATGTTACCCCCTTTCTGCCATTAGTTTTACTAATACTGTACAAATAGTCAAAGTTCCCCCCCAAAATTATGCAAATAACACATACTGTACCTTATTTAAACATTTTGATATTGCTTCTTGAATTTCTGCTTATTCGGGAGTTTCTTTTCCTTTGGAGCATTCTGGTGTCTGAAATTTCGAAATCTTGGTTTTTTTTTTCTTCTGGGGGGAGTGCCCCCAGGAAATGTTTCTTCTGGAGGGGTTGTTGAATTCGCTGAAGATGTGGTTGGGTTATAACTAGTAGATGTACTGAGATTAGATGAAGAGTGAGAAGTAGTTAGTGAAGAACTGTCAAGGGAGTGAGTAGTATTTAGTGATGAAGAGCTGTGAGAAGATGATGATGGAGTATGTTGGCGAAGAGAATAGCGTGAAATAAGTTCAGGTGGAGTGAAAAGGGAACGGGAAGTAGAAGCCAAAATGGGGTTTGATGCATGAGATGGTAGCTGTGAATATGATGGTGTTGGTTGCTGGGTGTCACCACCTCCTGAAATTAAAATTCTTTAATTAATTTTTGGTGTAATGGAAAATTCCATGCTTTCACAACCACACATTTAAAAGAAACCTACAAGAAAATCACGCTACCCAAAACCTGTTATGCTTACAGAGGAATTTGACACAATCTAACAACTGGACTAACTTGCTAGAGCATCAATACGGCTCAAGGCGTTGAGCTTTGCCACAAGACGAAGCTCGGACTGATCTCTAATTTACTTCTTGGGTGGAAAGGGAGGGATTAAAATTGGAAAGGGTGTAATCTCCCACGGTGCAGGAAAATGCCGTTGCTGTCTCTCTTGATACAAATTATAAATCTGATACACTCTGAGTGTATGTTCTGGTTACAGAGGCACATAATCGGTTAATACCGGGTTGATGGGGTTCTGGGAGTTCTTCTACTCCCCAAGCCCGGCCTGAGGCCAGGCTTGACTTGTGAGAGTTTGGTCCACCAGGCTGTTGCTTGGAGCGGCCCGCAGGCCCACATACCCACCATAGCCTGGTTGGTCCGGAACGTCTTTCAGAAAACAGTCCAGCTTTCTCTTGAAGATGTCCACGGTTGTTCCTGCAATATTTCTTACAGTCGCTGGGAGGACGTTAAACAGCCACGGACCTCTGATGTTTATACAGTGTTCTCTGAGTGTGCCTATGGCACCTCAGCTCTTCACTGGTTCTATTCTGCATTTTCTTCCATATCGTTCACTCCAGTATGTTGTTATTTTACTGTGTAGATTAGGGACCTGGCCTTCCAGCATTTTCCATGTGTATATTATTTGGTATCTCTCTCGTCTTCTTTCTAGCGAGTACATTTGGAGGGCTTTGAGACGATCCCAATAATTTAGGTGCTTTATTGCGTCTATGCGTGCCGTATATGTTCTCTGTATTCCCTCTATTTCAGCAATCTCTCCTGCTCTGAAGGGGGAAGTGAGTACTGAGCAGTACTCTAGAGGGGACAACACCAGTGACTTGAAGAGTACAACCATTGTGATAGGATCCCTGGATTTGAAAGTTCTCGTAATCCATCCTATCATTTTTCTGGCTGACGCAATATTTGCTTGGTTATGCTCCCTAAACGTTAGAACGTCGGACATCATTATTCCCAAATCCTTGACATGCTGTTTACCTATTATGGGCAGATTCGATTATGTTTTGTACCCTGTATTATGTTTCAGGTCCTCATTTTGCCATACCTGAGTACCTGGAATTTATCGCTGTTAAACATCATGTTATTTTCTGCTGCCCAATCGAAAACTTTGTTGATATCTGTTTGTAATTTTTCCATGTCTTCAGCAGAATTTTCATGCTGATTTTTGTGTCATCTGCAAAGGATGACACGAAGCTGTGACTTGTATTTTTATCTATATCTGATATGAGAATAAGGAACAGCAGTGGTGCAAGGACTGTACCTTGAGGTACGGAGCTTTTAACTACGCTTGGACTTAATTTTATTTGATTGACTGTTACTCTTTGTGTTCTGTTCGACAGGAAATTGAGTATCCAGCGTCCTACTTTACCAGTTATTCCCACTGACCTCATTTGGTGCGCAATCACTCCATGATTACATTTGTCGAATGCCTTTGCAATGTCTGTGTATATACTATATCTGCATTTTGTTTTTTCTTCTAGAGCTTCTGTGATTTTGTCATAGTGGTTCAGTAACTGTGACAGACAGGATCTTCCCGCTCTAAATCCATGTTGTCCTGGATTGTGTAACTCATTATTTTCCATAAAACTAGAAATTTGATTCCTAATCACTCTTTCAAAAACTTTTATTATGTATGATGTTAACCCTTAAATGGCACATGGCTATTTACCATTTGTCACCCACAAGCGCATACAAAAAAAAAAAAACTTCCTAACCTGTTAAGTCGTGTTCCCTGATCACAGGAAAAAAAATCAATTGTACTTACCGACGACATAATTGAGCCGACAAGATGGGTGATGACGTCACAATTTGCATGTTCGCTCATCCACGGTGCATCCCGGAGGCGTCGCTCGCGGTCTTCAAGCAGTCAGAGTTGCCACAAATTCATTTTCGCGTCATTATTTACAGTGTCTAGGCCTGTATTCTTTGCAATATTAGTCACTAATTGTGTTGCACATAATGTTACTTCACAGTTATTGTCAATAAATGTTGCATACATCGAGTATTCACATGCGCACACAAATGTTTTCCATTACGCCATTATATTATGTAATCACAATGCTCATTATTTTATATGTACACACTAGCACGCACTATGTACAGGTTTTTGCACTATTATTGCACATTTAGAATTCTTGGAGTGAGTGGTAGTCGTTGAAGCAGTCGACAGCACACAATGCAACTGCACACCCTTCACACCATGTTTGCACAATTTTACGTTTCTGTTCTCTCCGTTTTGTTGTTTTACATACTAGGCATGCACGTTGGCCTATTGCACGCATTCCAGCTGGTGGCAAATTCTTTAGTCTGTGTTGCTGAAAGGCATCTATGTGAGCGAGCCTGGGTGTTGCAGCATGCTGCAACATGTCAATGCTTCATGACTGGTCTTTGTATGACAGGGACATCTTTACCAAATTTTGCTAATAACTGTGTTGCAAGTATAAAAGCAAATGACCGGAAAACAGGTTTACGTCCAGTTTTCACCAGATACAAATTATAGCAGTTCAACATGCTCATGTCAACAAGATGATGTTACGAACCAGATTCCATCGTCGGAGCATGGAGCAGCGAAGTCAATACAGGTACCATCTGTGAGTCCACTCCCGAAACCCCCACATATTGGACGACGCCATCTAGTGGTGACAGGATTATACCAGCAAGAGGCGCTAGATTACTGTCCTAGTCAGCTCGTGAGGCAGCTGGTGCTGACCTCTGGTGAGGTGGCGCCTAGAAAATCAGCACCATCTATTATAGGAGGAGTTGTATGTCTATGTCAGAGTACGTAAGTGATGTTTCCTAGTGTCCCATTTACTGACCAGTGTACTGATGACGTGTCGTCGACTACAGAGTCGACGTAGGGCTGCTCTGGTACGAGGACAATCAGTCTACCCAGGGCAGCCAATATCTCTCTACTCCATACTGCTTTACGGAAGCAGTGAGCCGCCGCCGGAGAAGAACTGTGTAGTGTTCTACTGTCTGCCTGTGACTTGGCAGTGATTGAATTTGGCGTACCCGGGACTGGCTAGTGGAAAAGATGACTGACAGTAAGGTGCTACGGAGAAGCGTAACCAGCGAGTTGCAAGAAGCTCCTGCCAGGGGTTTGCTACCCTTGTAGTTGTTCGTGAAGAGGCCCAGCAGCGCGAGGCTGATGTTCTCTGCCAGCTCCAGGCTGGAGAGCGATTGTGGGCGTGCACGAAGAGCACCTAGTGAGACTGTGTTCTGGCTGGCCCGTGGCCAGGGTAGACTCGTTGGTGTTTCCCAGTACTGGTTGAGGACAGTACTGTGTGTTGAGGAAACAAGGTAGCTGACAAGACTGCATCGATTGAGCATCGAGGAGCGTTTAGTGTCCTATGAGAGAGACACTTGTGTACATATTAAGTGTAGTAATACTTCCTTTAGGATTATATATGAGGTGATGGGAAAGTGATTATATGTGAATATATTGATAATTGATGAAGTGTTCTATTCAATGCACCTCCCCCATTGTGTTTTACTTGCATTACCGAGGTCACTCCTTGAAAGCCACTACTAACTTGGGGCCGGATACTAGAACTTTAGTTCCACCAGCAAAGAACCCGGTTGCGACCCATTGTGGCAGTAACAGATGGAAAAACACTTTTTTCGTCCATTTCAATGTTTTCCGCACACACTCGATAGTGCCACTCATCATATCAGCCTTATCAAACGCATTGTGCACGAAGGTCTGTGCACTGCAATGAGCCAATGACACTGTCGATCGTTGCTGGTAGGTCAGTCAGGTCTCTTCAATCAACAGCAGCAGGAGACACACCGAGAGGTTAAGGTTGATGATCAGCTGTCTGAAGATCAAGTCGACCAGGTTACTCGACTGGTAGCAGAGTACAAGGAGGTACTCTCTGATGTCACTAAGGTAGCAAAGGTAGAGGGTTACCGCATACCTTTGCTAGAGCAGTAAGCGGTACGAACAAAACCATATCCTGTTCCTCATCACCTTGTACCACAGGTGAGAGAAGAACTGGAATCTATGATTAATGCGGGAGTAATAGAGAAGTCGACCTCAAGCCCGATGGTGTTAGTGAAGAAGCCTGGGGGAGGTGTGCGCATCTGCCTCGACTTCAGGAAGTTGAACTCCATCAGAGTTTGATGCTGAACCGATGTTCAATCAAAATGAGATCTTCTCGAGGTTAGCTTCCAGTTGCTATTTCTCCAAGCTTGATCTGACAAAAGGATTTTGGCAGATTCCATTAGATGAAGACAGTAAGCGCTGCACTGCCTTCATGACAAGCGGAGGTCTCTTCCAGTGCATAGTTCTTCCGTTTGGACTGGTGAACGCCCCAGCCGTGTTCAACAGAACTATGCGCAAGGTCTTGGGGGGAATTACTGGAGTAGAAGTGTTCGTGGACGATGTGCTCATCCACTCTGCTACGTGGGAAGAACATCTGACCTTGCTAAGGCAGGTGTTGGCAAGACTACAAGAAGTAGGAATGGTTGCAAAACCCACTAAGTGTGAGTTGGGGTGCAAGGAGGTCAGGTACCTTGGTCACGTGATAGGGGGAGGGTTCACCAGGCCGCTGCCTGAGAAGATCACCAAGATCAGCGAAGCCGCTCCACCCGCCACCAAGACGCAGGTTAAGTCATTCCTGGGATTTGCAGGGTACTCTAGAACTTTCATTCCCAATTTCATGTCCATAGCAACTCCGCTAACTAATCTAACCAAGAAGAATGCACCTGTTAGAGTACGTTGGACAGAAATGGAGAACTCGGCATTCTCGACGCTCAAGAAGAAGCCGAGTGAAACACCCATCCTTAGACTACCAGATTCTACCAGGGAGTACATCCTCCGGACAGATGCCTCAAATACAGGCATCGGTGCTGTACTCATGCAAGAGTACGACGGTGAAATTTGGCCAGTTGCGTACTCCAGTCGTAAATTGAGCGATGCTGAGCAGAAGTACTCCACTGTAGAAAAGGAACTCCTTGCTGCTGTCGTTGGAGTAAGGAAATTCTACCAGTATCTCTATGGTAAGCGTTTCACGTTTCAAGTAGATCACCAACCCCTCAGCCACATCTGGCGCCCAACGTGATTGGCTTAGTTGGAACCTATGAGCTAGGTTGTAAAGTAAAATTTCGCACTTAAATTTTCCCTGAAAATTCAAAAGTGACGAGCAGTATTCAGAGGATGTTTAACACCCTGTTAGGTACACACACCACCAGTATGTCTGAGTGTGGAGAGTGCAAACAGCGCTACCTGCATCTTTACCAGGCCTTAACCGCTCGTAGACCTGACGACTACGACACTCTTAGTGAGCTAGAGTGCAAGGAACGAGTGGAACAGCACATGAGGGCCGTGGAAGACGTGATGCTAAAAGCACACATGCAGGGTAGTACTGAGGTGGCGTGCACAAGTCTCATCACACTGGATGAGGCTACCGGAGGTGAGACCCCGGTGAGAGATAACACAGTGGGAGAGACCCCAGTGAGAGACAACTTGGAGGTAGGGACCCCTGTGGGTGACGTCACCGAGAATGACGTCACTAGAATCATGCGCGCTGCGGAAGAAAACGGAGTCACGCGGGAATCTAGCCCTTTAAATACTCTGTTGGGGGGATTCTATGGGGAAGAATCTCGGCCCAAAAGGTCCTTGTGGACAACACCAACTCAAAGAGTAGGTATTACAGGCTCGCATTTATTTACCTTAGAGGAATACCGTAACCAAGTTAGGGAGTTGGGATTCGAAGGGAATAAAGTAGCAGAGCAAACTATGAAACTCTGGACTGATCAGCAGGACAGAGAAAGTAAACTGTGGACTGATCAGCAGGAGAGAGAAAACAAACGCTGGACTGATCAGCAGGACCGAGAAAGTACTGAATGCATAGCTCGCATGCAGTTGCAAGCAAGGCAGGATGACCAGACAAGTGGTCATTCAACAGAGACTAACATTGAACAAGGTAAGACTGTCAAACTACCTAAACTAGCTAACTATGATGAAAGGGGCGACTCGATGGATGCATACATCAAGCTTTTCGAAGGTCACGCCGCTGATTGCGGGTGGGAAAGATCAAAGTGGGCACTCGCTCTTAGTGCATTGTTAAAGGGTAGGGCACTATCTACCACAGTCTGGGTTTGCACCAGCGCGGAGATTACGAGGCATTGACAACAGCGTTGCTGAACGGTTTTGGCATCACTGCAGATCGGATGCTAGAGAATTTCCGTAGGGCTCAATTGCAAAAAGGGGAGACATATAAGCTAATGTTACAGCGGTTAGAATCGAGTTTAAGCCATTACTGTGAACTCATGAAGACTGCTCCTGGGAGCATGGAGTCCTATCAACTGATGATTCGTGAACAATTCTTAGAAGCATGCGAATCGTCTCTGCGTGTCAAGCTCAAGGAGCAGGAAATTGTGTCAAATCTGTCTATGGCCAAGCAAGCTGATTTGCGGGCTGGGGCCAGGAGACAGGTGAAAGGGGTGAAGCCGCACGAGAAACATCATGCTACAGGTACTGGCGAGGAAGCTAAGCCTAAGACTGGTGTGTCGGTGGAGCAGGGAAACTCCTCCAACAAGCATGTGCACAAGTGCTACACCTGTGGTAAGCCAGGTCATCGTGCAGCTGCTTGCAAGGCAAAACCGAAGTCAGGTTACATAGCAGGTGTGAGCTCAAGTGGTAAGAAACATCCCAACGTCGGAAAGGATCCACTAGCTTGGACCCTTGAGGTGGTGGACAGATATGTTAATGGAAAATCAGCAAAAATCTTCCGTGACAAAGGCACCACAACTCACATGGTAAGAAAAAGCCTAGTAAAGCCAGGATCTGAGACAGGTAAGACATATCTATGTCAAATTCCCAAATGGCTATGCTAAAGAGATGGTGGAGGTGTATGTGTGGGTCGACACACCTTACATCAAAGGTAAAATCCGTGCCATTCAACAGGAACGTGTTGTATATGGACTTTTATTGGGAAATGTACCAGGAGTCTGATTGCCCAAGTCCACCCTCAAAGAAAACGGGGGAGAGTGAGGAAGCTGCTGCCTCAGCTGAGTGCGAGAGTGGATTTGTTCTAAGACAAATAGCACCATACTTATATTTGCTTACCTTCATCAATTTGTTCCTTTCTTTTCTTAACCATGCAGTCCTTTTGTTTTCCTTTGATTGGTACATTCTTCTTCTTCTTCTTCTTTAATCAAAGAAAAACAAAAAATTAGTACAAATTCAGTAAGGGTTTAAGAAATTCTAGATAGAATACAGCAGGAAAAGATCATCGGACAAATGGGGTATAAAAAAATATATACATAATATAATATAGTGGCCTTTCGCCTTGGTGCCCCAATTCACACTGATTACAAGTGTATTTGCAACAGGGTGGAAGCAAACCAATATGGACTGCATGAGTTGCACAGCGGAAGCACAAAGGGCTGACATGCAAGACACAACGAGGTCAATGACATCATCATGAGAGCCTCGTCTCAGCTCGGTGCCCAGCGGAGAGAGAACCTTGCATCCTAGGGGCCCACCACCCGAATGACCCCGCACTTCGCCCTGATGGTATCACTATATACCCCCTGGAAAACGGGCAAACTGTTGGTGTGGGACTACACATGTGTGTCCACCCTAGCTGACACCTATGTACACTTTGGTGCCGATCAAGCAGGTGGGGGGGCCAACCACAAGGAAACAGCAAAATCACTCAAGTACAGGCGACTGGAAGGTCAATACCTCTTTGTTCCCATAGTGTCTGAGACGCATGGCCGCTGGGGCAAGAGTGCCTTGGGATTTCTCAAGGAATTAGGCTCCAAGCTCATTGACATCACCAGAGACCCAAGGGCTTCCAGTTTTTTGTTTCAGTGCCTTAGTGTGGCGATCCAAAGGGGAAATGCCTGCTGCATCCTCGGTTCCTGTCCGGAAGCGGAGGAGCTTCAAGAGATCCATAACCCGTAGGCATTTTTTGTATCAACCAATGTATATCTTGTAACCTTTAAATACACAATAAAGCAAAAAAACAAAAGGAAGGGGGTGGTGGGAGAAGAGCACACAGAAACTGTGTTGGAGAGGACCTAAACATTCCCTCTAATGCGTTATATGTGGTTTCCTCCGAGGATAAGGGTCCCCCTTCTTCCAGCCAGAGGTGGTACTCCCTTCCTTGTTTTATATATATATATATATATATATATATATATATATATATATATATATATATATATATATATATATATATATATATATATATATATATATATATATATATATATATATATATATATATATATATATATATATATATATATATATATATATATATATATATATATATATATATATATATATATATATATATATATATGTGTGTGTATATCACGAAAATAAACACGTGATTAAAAATGTGACAATGTCAGACCACGGAGGAAAAATGAAACAGGAATTTCCTTAAGTACTTTCGTATATTAATACATCTTCAGAAGGAGTGATTTTACAGATCGAGTGATGGGTATAAATAGGCAGGAGAGAGTGGTGAAGTGAGGTGAGGTACAATACTTGCACAACGCAGACGGCCCATTGGCCCATCAGATGCAGCCAATTGGCCCATCTGATGTAGCCCAATGGCCCATCTGATACAGCAAACATACAAGCACAATACATAGGTAATTATAGCATAAAATGGTAAATATATACAATGAATTAGTGAGACAAATATGTTTCAATGATCCTACTTAAATCGCCCTTTAACTGATCTATTAAAAATGGATCTAAGTTATATAGACCACTGCTAATATTCAAATTACTTTCTTTTGTGATCTGTATCAAAGCAGATTCAATTATGTTTCTGTTATAGGTGCTTTTACAATTTGTTATTGAAGAAGCACTCTCCCAATCAATTTGGTGAGCATTTTCTGACAAATGAACAAACAAAGCATTAGACAATTGGCCATGTCTTACAGAGTATTTATGTTGCGATATTCTACATTTTAAATCTTTAGATGTTTGCCCAACATAGAACTTATTACATTCCTTACAAGGTATTTTATAAGTGACACAATTATCACTACGAGGGCTGTTCCTAACTAATAGCCTACCAACAGTGTTTTCGTAGCTAAACATTACATCTATATTAAAAAGTTTCAAGGCCTTGACAATATTCTCCAACCCAGAGAAATATGGTAAACATAACACATTCTTTGGGTGAATCCTTTCACTGCATACATTATTATATTTATTTATTTATTTATTTATGCATATACAAGAATGTACATAAGGAATGTGAGGATACAAATATGGTAATTACAGTCTTGTAAAGCCACTAGCACGCGCAGCGTTTCGGGCAGGTCCTTAATCTAAGAAAATTTTAAGGAGGTAAATACTTGCAAAATTATAGACAAAAAATGATAACAGATTACATGAAATGAAAAAAAAGATGAGAGAAAATTGTAGGTACAGTATATTAAAGCACATAGGTAGCTAAGATTGATTGCAATGACAGCTTGAATGGTAGTTGACAAAAAAAATTGGTAGGCATAATACAGCAGAAACAATATAAGATTGGTTGCAATGACAGCTTGAATGGTAGTTGACAAAAATTGGTAGTCACAATACAGCATATGGCTAGCACATAAAAAAAGACAGCAATGAACACAATGATAAGGTTGTTTGAAATTACATAAAAATTAGGAGATTGGGTAACACTAGGTACAGAGCAAATTTAAAGCTCAGTGTAGGAAAACTAAGAAGATGAAGTTAGGTACTTTTTGGTTTTGCTTTTAAATAAGGCAAAAGTTTTACAGTTTTTCAATTCACTAGGGAGTGAGTTCCATAAACTAGGCCCCTTAATTTGCATAGAGTGTTTACACAGATTAAGTTTGACCCTGGGGATATCAAAGAGATATTTATTTCTGGTGTGGTGATAATGGGTCCTATTACATCTGTCCAGGGAGAGTTTCAGAGCATGGTTTGCATTTAAGAACAGGGTTTTGTAAATGTAGTTGACACAAGAGAATGTGTGGAGGGAGTTAATATTTAGCAAGTTTAGGGATTTAAACAAGGGAGCTGAGTGTTGTCTGAAAGCTGAGTTAGTTATCATTCTGATAGCAGATTTTTGCTGTGTGATGATGGGCTTAAGGTGGTTTGCAGTGGTAGACCCCCATGCACAGATACCATAATTAAGATAGGGGTAAATTAGTGCATAATATAGTGAGAGGAGAGCAGAGTTAGGAACATAATATCTGATTTTGGAGAGTATACCAACTGTCTTAGAGACTTTCTTAGTTATGTGTTGAATGTGGGTGCTGAAGTTGAGTCTCTTGTCTAGGAATAGGCCAAGAAACTTGCCATCATCTTTATTACTGATGTTAATGTTATCTATCTGTAGCTGAATTGCATTTGATGATTTGCTTCCAAATAAGATGTAGTAAGTCTTTCGATGTTTAATGTTAGTTTGTTCGTTGACATCCATAAGTGGACTTTTTTTAATTCATTATTCACAACATTATTTAGTGTATGTGGGTTGAGGTTTGAATAGATAAGAGTAGTATCGTCAGCAAACAGTATAGGTTTGAGAATAATAGAGACATTAGGCAGATCGTTTATATATATAAGAAATAGAAGAGGTCCTAAGATGCTGCCCTGTGGCACTCCAACGGTAATTGGTAGAGTGGACGAAGTTGTATCATTGATGGTTACATATTGGTGTCTGTCACTAAGATAGGATCGGATGTAGTCAAGGGCAAGGCCTCGGATTCCATAATGCTGGAGTTTAAGTAAGAGGTAGTTGTGATTAACAGTATCAAAGGCTTTTCTTAGGTCAATGAAGAGTCCAATCGGAAACTCATTTTTGTCAAGGGCTGAGTAGATAACGTCAAGGAGACTAATGATTGCATCGTTGGTGCTCTTTTGGGACCGGAAGCCAAACTGGCAGGGGCTGAGTATGTCGAATTTTACGAGGTAGGAATAGAGCTGTTTGTAAATAATTTTTTCAAATATTTTTGATAGAATGGGTAGATTTGATATTGGTCTATAATTGTTTATGTCCTCCGGATTGCCTCCTTTATGGACTGGCGTTACTCTTGCTTTTTTGAGGATATCAGGGAAGGTGTGACACTCTATAGATTTGTTGAACAGTAGTGCTATGGGTGGGGCAAGGGCATGGGAGGCTCTCTTGTACACAATGGACGGAATTTCACTGGTGTTCCCTGCCTTGGTTTTTAGAGAGTGTATGATGGACACAACATCTGCCGGGCTGATTGGTGAAAGGAGAAGAGAGTTTGGATAGCTGCCTGAGAGATATGTGTTAATATGTGTCTGAGTCTGTGGGGTTTTACTGGCAAGATTAGCACCAACCGATGAAAAGAAACTATTAAATTCATTTGCCATTTCTAAATCAGTTGATGGTATATCCCCATCCTTGTAGAGTTTTATTTGGTTATGTGAGTGTTGCTTAGTTCCTAGGATACTAGAGATAGTTTTCCAAGTGTTTTTCATGTTGCCTTTTGCTTCATTGAATCTATTCACATAATATGCAAGTTTTGCCTTTCTTATGATACTGGTAAGCATTGATGAGTACCTTTTAGCTACTGCCTTTGAAACTAGGCCAATCTTAACTTTCTTTTCATATTCATGTTTCTTGTTGATTGAGTTGAGAATGCCACTTGTGAGCCATGGATTGTTTAATCTTTTGTCAGTTACTTGCTTTGTAAGAAGGGGACAATGAAGGTTGTAAAGGCTTAGAGTTTTGGAGAGGAAGAGGTTAGCTAATGAATTTATATCATGGGTATTATTGAATTCAGAATCCCAGTTAATATTGTGAAGTGCCTCTGTAAGATTGTCTAAAGCTGATTCACTGTGTAGCCTAAATGAAAGTTTCTTGCTTTTTGGTGGTGTTATGTCCATGTTCGCTATGAGAAAGGTAGGATAGTGGTCAGTTGTTCTGTCGTAGATTATACCAGATACAAGGGGAGCTGTTATGTTTGTCCATATGTGGTCCAAGGTAGTGGCTGATGTTTGAGTGACTCGGGTAGGTTTGGTGATAGTGGGGATTAGCATACAGGAGTTCATGCTGTTAAGGAAATAGTCAACTTGAGAGCAATTTTGTTGACCCAGGGCAATATTAAAGTCTCCTCCCAGAATGATGTGGTTTTTGTTAAGATTGTTGTTTATAATAAGATTCCTTAGGTTGTCTGAGAAAGAAGC